CTCCCCCCCTCAAGTTTCTCCTCAGAATCTCTATAAACCCTCTACCCACTCCCATCACAACCCCAAATCTGCATAGCAAAGACATAGAAGACGCTGAGGAGCCACGTCACAACCACCCCGTGTATCTAATTCGATGTTATTACTTGAAAAATTTCAAGCGGGTCTTGACTTTGCATTTAGAAGTTTAGAGGATTAGAAGAATTGAGCACAGAGATGTGAATTGGAGGATTAATACTGTCATTTTATCCAGGATTCCACTGGCTGTCGGTGAATCGTACTCACCATCAGCGAACTCGATCACCGCCACTTATTCCTTTTCATCAATAGTTCAGACATCAAATAAATACCCACAATTTCTCCCCCTCTCCTTCCTGATCTCTTCCGCCCTGACTCATCCCTCCCAAGTACTCTCAAATTCTCCCTCAGCTTCGAACCCAAAATCGAGCGGCAGACTCTGTTTCGGTCCTTTTCTGCGTTCCATGATGAGTTGCGTCTTTTCGGAATCAATAATGTCGAAGAGATTGATACCTTTATAACTCGACTCAAATCTCTAGCGTGGTAGATTGGAGTGCAAGTAAAGTTAGGCGAATAGAGTAGAATGCGTGGGGGTGTTAGTAAATCATGTATGTACATGCATGAATGTATCTTCTCCCTTCTCGTTGACTCACCAATACAACAACTGTCCTTAATATCACTCCCACGTACCCCTCACTACCTCTTACCTCAATCCCCAAGATCTCACCTCTCACCTCTCACCTCACCAATCCCCTTTCTTTAAACCCCCGTCCGCCTTTCAAGTCTCCAACAAACCACCACCACCACCACCATCACCTCAAAGTAAAAAAAGAAGTTAAGAATTCACTCTCGAATTCACACTCACCTCATCTCCATCTAACTTTCAAGCTCCATATAACTCATTAGGCATAAAGCGTGACGTGTGAGGCACGAAGCACAAGATATCAAGGGAATAAACACTTTACGATTTCAATAAATGACAATCTCAACATTCGTAATAAATGATACTAACAGTCAATGTCAAACATCACTCAATCCATCGACGACAAATTTCGCAAATTAAAAATCACCCTCTTGTTTCTATTTATCTTCATTCAAATGTTATTTTAATTCAACATATGCGAATTCTAGTTCTTTACACTTAGTAGAAATCCCCAAAATCGACTCCTTCCACTATCTCTTTATGAGTTCAGTCTTGTAGTATCCATTTCATACTGGTGGTATCTATTGGATACGACTTCTATCTTGGGATGATTTAATCCAAGTCGGTATCGATTTCGAGGTTTCCGTAAGTTGTACTTTGTAGAAATAATCCGGAGATTCACTGCTAATTTCATGTTCATTCCGGTTTTGAAAATCGTGTTCACTATCAACTTTCATTCTTGAAGAAAAATCATTCAAATAAAAATCATATCTCATTATTCATCTTTTCTTCAAAAGCGGTATAAGTAACTCCCCTCTCAGATTTAAACCCCATAAACATCCAATGCATGTTCATTAATGTACGCAATTCCTTCTTTTCTGTAGGTATCATCCTCAGTATAACTACCCGTAACATTAAACACCAAGTTCTTCTCCCCTTCCGTGGTATTGCCCGCATAATTAGGCCAGCTTACTCCAGTCTCCCCATTTGGAACCCCGTGAACAATGAACCCTACCCATCTCTGACTCATTTCCTGCGCCAAGTCAAAGTAGTTTTGGGTTTTGTTCGCGAATGGATCGACCGCAACTAAAGTATCATATCCAAGTCCTTGAGTATTATTAAAGACAAATACTACCTCTTGGAAATGGGTCGATCCAGTAGAAGCTGGTACACCATTCACAAGGACATCGAATCTATAGGTGTAGACAGGCACGCCGAACTTGGTCCAAGAATGGGCGGTAAGACGTCGAGGCCCTTGCATGATGACATCTCCCATGTAAGCGCAAACACGACGGTATTGAAGACCGACTTGTGCTGTTAATGGGTTCTCGGGTGTGTAAAGCTCGGGATACATATCGAGACTTGGGATTCCAACGCTTTGATCGTTGGGATAGAGTTTCTGGATCTCCAAATTGGCATCGGAACCGGTGAGCAATCCGGTGCTGTTTAGCAAGTCCGAGAATTCAGAGTCGCTGTTAATTCCAGTCCCGTTGGGTCCATAACCGGATCCAAAGGCAGTTCCTTCATCGGTATTTGTACCGATGAGATATGGAACTCTGACGAAGTTTCCAGAGGAAAGTTGTTTGCTGGGATAATCGGCGATGAAATCATTATCGATGTATGGGAAGAAAGGACCGATGCCACCAGATGTTGTATTAAGTGCTGCATTCATCTCTGAAAAGGGAAGTTTACGGAGACATTCCAGGGAATCTGTAGAGGTAGTGTTGAGACCGAGAAGATATGCACAAGTTGTGTTTGCGACGACAGACGTGAAGAGTTTTTGGGGTGTTGTGGAGTTATAGACACCAGGGTAATCGGTTGGGAAAAAGAGAACTGCTGGACCACCTGATTCAGAAATTGCGGCGCGGAATAAACCATCATCTCGTCCTATTTATTGTTAATGAGTGTCCAGGTAGAAGAAATGAGTCGAATAAATAGAGGAACAAACCATTGTAAGCTAAAACTTGAGCACCAACACTAGCAGCTCCAGCACTTTCACCCCAAATAGTAACCTTATCTTTATCTCCTCCAAAAGATTCGATATTCTCATTAACCCATTGTAGGGCCAATCTTTGATCTCTGAAACCCAAATTTGTATTTCCAGTTTCTAACATCTCACTACCACCCAAAAAGCCCCATGCAGAGAGTCTGTATTGGATTGAGACACCAATCATAGGTGTACCCATATCTACACTGTTTTGAACAATGAATGATAGATTATATCGAGCATCTCCGGAGCCACCTTCAAAGAAACCACCACCGTGGATCCAAAAGGCTACCGGTAGTGATGCATTGAGCGGAACGGATGATGGACGGATTACGTTTAAGTAAAGACAATCTTCATCAGTTTCTTGTTCGAAATCATCTGATCCATATCCTACACAGAATGGAGGATATTCTGTTGCTGATTTGGAAGTGGTCCATGATTCATTTAGGCTTTGAGGTACGCGGAAACGGAGGTCATTAATTGGTGGCTATCGGTGTGAGCGTTAGTCACGTGTGAGGAAGAGAAGGGTAGGAAGGGGGATAGGGAAAGGGAAAGGGAGAAGAGGAAGGGGAAGAAGGGCAGAGAGAAAAAAGTACAAGAAAGATAAAAGATGACTAACCTGAGCATATGGAATTCCGAGGAAGAAATCTTGATTATAGTAACTATTGTGAAGTCCGGTGTATGAACCATTCTTGACCGTAACACTCGGTGCCGTGGAACGAATCGTAGGAATTGCCGAAACCAGAGGAGCCCAAAGGGAAAGGACGGGGATGAGATCCCGATGGAGAAACATGGCGAAAGAGGTGAAAGAGGTGAAAGTCAAGAGAATGAGGAACTTGATGGGAAGAGCTGCACCAGTGACAGGGCAATCATTGTGTATTTGTACTTTTCTCGCAAACTCTCTGCCCATTCTTGTTTATGGATATTTTCTTAGCCATCTTAATTCGCATCCATGCCCATAGCAAAGACTCGTGTGTAATGCGGTACACGAATGGTAAGATGATAAAGTGGAGAAGTGATGCGTGACGTCTAGATGGATTCGATGTATGATTGGATGGAATGAGAAAAGGTTCCATTAATCGATCGAATTGACGGAGTACATGATTAAGTGCCGAAGATTTACCTTTTATTTTCCTGTCAAGTGAAGGATGGATGAGAGGATGGTGGATTGTCGATGGTGGATTGTCGATGGTGGATTGTCGATGGTGGATGGTGGATGATGATGGATGATGGTGGATGATGGTGGGTGATGGTGGGTGATGGTGGATTGTCGATGGTTTATTAGTGTTAGATGCGAAGAAGGATGGGGTTGGGGTACAGAAATCTTGCAGAATTCCCAGAAAATTCCCAGAAAATTGGTGGACAGCGGGGTAAAAAGAAAAGTGTGGAGATGCGGAGATGAGGGGGATGATTGTTTCCTTGGATAGCCTGGTGAGCGTGATAACAGTTGAATCGGCAATTATGAAGTTTCCAGACGGGAGTGCACGAGAAGACGACTTAGATATTGAGAATCGAGCCAATTCTTTGCATTGATGGATGAAGAATGCAACCTCTCCATGGAGGCATTGAAAAATCCATAATTAATGGACAATTGATGGGCAATTATTCTCATTAGGTTTGACCTCGGGGGATGAACCTACAGATGAACCTACAGAGGAACCTACAGTGTGCGTACGATGTTGTTACTGGGTCGTGAGGACTCGTACCTAGCTAAGTAGACAAACTAAGTCAAGTGTCAATGTGATTGTGGGGTTAGAAATGGAGACGCTTGGGTCGCCGAGAACAAAAGACTTTTCTTTCGCCGATGGGATGATGGATACGGACATTGATCCTATCTCTCTATGAGGATATCAGTCTTGCCGATCTTTCTTCAAGGATATAGAGAGGCATACAATAATACACGAGGAAAGTTGTTGAATCCGCTCCGTCGAAAAAGTGTCGAATATCCTTACAAACAGCTTTTACCATCATGGAGAACGGATAACACCCCGCAGACAACGGATTCACGATGATAGATTTGACGTTGCAATTTGTTCACCGCTGGATAAGATAGAACAAATACATAACAGTAGCCAGAAGTGCACGTGAAAGTGGGAGTTCTACGAAAGAGCGAGAGCACAAGTACATACCTAATCCCCAATACGTATGCTCTCATCCACATATCACGATCCCTTGCTTTGCGTGCAGCTATCTGGTAAGTATATATGGAGTGTCGAATCCACACAATTCAATCGCACCTCAGATTCGAAATCATTAACTCACTCACTCTTAAGAATTGTGTTCCTGGATCGAAGTGGATTGTTCCAAATATACATAAAACCCTATTCAAATGCCGTTAAATGCCGTCAAATGCCGTCAGATCTCCAAATCATCTCCTTCATCTCCTTCGTCCCAATCGCTATCCTCAATAACAGTCATAAGCTTAGGTTTGGTAAAAGGACCGATTGTCTTCTTCCCCTTGAGTGATTTGCTGCTTTCCATACTGATACTAGATAGAGCATCGGAGTCGTCGGGATCAAGATAATCCATAAATCCATTCTCTTCTTGGTCGACATCTTGTGCAAGGAATTCGTCTGCGTCAAAGTAATCTTCTAATTCTTGTTCCTTCTCCTCTGCGTCCTCCTCATCGTCCTCAGCTTCCACAATTGCCTGAGATGTTGCAATGCCCTTCCCCTTCTTTACTCTCTTCGGTTTCAATAATTTCTCCACAACTTTTTGACCTCTCGTTCGAAGAGATAATTCCTTCACCACATCATTCCATCGAATTTCCGTTTGACAACCAGGACACATCCCTTTGACAGGAACCAATTGTTCACTCGATTGCTCATCCTTCTCGCCTTGAAGAAAATGTTGACTCAAGCATGTCATGTGGGTGATCGAATCACAATCTACCTTTGGACAAATGATGTAGAGACCCGAGTTGTGTCGAAGTTTTTGGTCGCAAATATCGCACGATTCTTTCATATCAGAATGAAAAATTCGTTCCCCTTTCCCCAAATGCGATTTGGTGTCCTCATAGGCTACCTTCAAAGCTTCAATTCCATAGGGTCGGTCTCTGGTTTCACCACCCTCGTCATTCACTTTTGATTCCGCTGGTGGAAAATCTGTAATGATAGGCAAAGTATCCCTCAGAGATCCAGTTGCCGCTTTCGACCATTTAAGCCAAGCTTTATGAACATCTGGTGCCAAAAATCTTACTTCTAATGGCCATCGTGAAAAAGATGGAACACTAAGTAAGATATGTAGGTTTGACAAGAGTGATTGAAGGGAATGTCGAGGTCTTTTGGGATGACCCGATCGTTTCTTTTGAGTAGCATGTGAAATTCGTGCTGATGGTGGGATATGAAGAGTTATGTGTGGATTTTGCCAGGCCCATCTGCTGGAGGTTAGTAAGGTGAGGGCGTAAATTGAGGAGAATCATGGTGAGTATTATTGAACAAAGGGATATCATAAGTAAAGGAAGAAAGGGTGACCAAGGTAATATAATCAAGGGGTATATATATGTACACATGTGCATCAAGCTGTTTCAACTGTAGAAACGTCAACTCTCAAGGAGTGTCACGTGGATATATCAAGATGTATTGTTAACAATCATGCAACTTACTCAAATTGTAGAGCGGCAATAGAGGTGGGAAACCCGGTAACGATACAAGCCATTTCCCATGGTCTTAAGTTACCTCGACTTGTCCTCACAGCGCCACCCTTTGCCAATCCATTATGTTGCCGAAGTCGTCTGACTATTTTTTCACGGGTTGAAATGTCAGAAAATGTAAGCTCACTCACACACTCTCGGGTTGTTATGTTATGTTGTGTTGCACGGTTACATCTGATTATTGTACGTGGTCATGGATTGGGATATTTGGGAAGATTTGGAAAGATTTTGAATAGCCTCGGACTTACCTGGGTTTGGAGTGGAACCAACATATAAAGCACTATGTCGCATCGTTGAGCGAAGAAGGTAACAACAATAAAATGCAGGCATTGGACGATCGATAGCCATTTGTTGATGAAGAGAACGAAGATGTACTAAAGATGTGTTTTTTGTTTTCTGTTTTTTTGATAATTCTCTTGAATTTTTCTTTGTTTTATTCCGATGCCTTTCTTGACCTAATTGCCACGCCACTTATATCATTCTCTGCGCACGATAAATGAATTTGACGATGTAGGTACTCGGTGAAAAGAGCGACGTGACAGGCGGTACGGGGTAAATTCCCCAATTCCCGGTAGTTCTATGCGAATAGTATATAGTATCAAGGAATGTCGAGTTGAAGTGTTTGATGTGTTGTGTTGATGTGTTGTGTATGGTGTGTTGTGTATGGTGTGTGTGTGTGTGTGCCTTTAATCAATAAACAAAATACTGTACCGACCTAGTACCCAGCACTCTAGACCATCAAGTCAGCATCAGCATCAGCATCCGCATCCGCATCCGCATCAGCATCAACCCTTGGACACCAAATGGCACTGGAAGAGCGCCAGAACCGCATATTTGGGAAGATCCATCAACACATCAGATGAAAAACATGAGGGGAGGTAGGTAGGGGAGGTAGGTAGGGTAGGCAGGTAATCACAACGACCTTCCTAATCGAATTGCGTAATTATTAATAATAGTATCTCCTACGTAAGATTTCTACAGACATAACAATAATAAGTACCTAGCAGTCAGCAACAAGATGTTGGTTAAGCTTCCGGTATATCTACCTGGGCACCCACATCACTTTCTACTTGAATTCATTCTGACAACTCTGCAGAATCGAGAGGCAAGCAAGCACATATGGATAGTACTCTGCGTACCAAAAAGACTCGGGGTAGGGTTTGTGTTCAACGTGCATAAATGATTTCATACAGACGGGAGGAGTGCCTACTTATCGCTGGGTGTCTAGGTATTGATAAGGCAAGGGCAGGTAGATCAGATCAGATCAGATCAGATCACACGTTCAGATCAGTCAGTCCGTCAATTGCTCCAAATGAAAGTCACTCATTCACGTACTACCTCCTCACTCACGAGTAGTCTTGTATTGTAGTCTGGTACTCATAATTACGACTTACCACTCACTCCAGCCGCCAATCTCTCACTCATCCCTCAGCTCGACATCCCTCAGCTCACCATCCCGAATTCTAGAATAATTAACTTTGCTTCACTCCACTCATGAAAAACCTGGAAGCCACTGATCCATTTATCCCGGGATCAATCCAACACATCTTTTATGAATTTTGATATCACAGCCTAGGCACGCTTCCTGAGCTAAACGCTTTTCGTCATTTATCAACGTCAAATGAGTTTCATTGGGTAGACAAACGATGTGTGGCCTGAGGTTGCAAGTTGACCCCATGCAATATAAATCGCATCAGGAAAGCTTCGAATTAGCAGGTGGGTAATCAATGGATGCGGACGGGAGCACGGGGGAATGTCAGTGTGAATGTAAGAAGATAGAAGCCAGAAAATGGCGAAGAGGAATGAAAATGATGGGGAAAACGAGATGAATTGATTCGTGCAAAGATTCGTGCAAAGATTCCAATCAGTATCATGATTTATTTCTTCCATCTGTATATCAATTGATGATACCCATCCTCGCCCTCATCCACACCCACACCCACACCCACACACAGATGCAAGGATCATTGATATCATGCTAATAAGAGAAAGAGGAACAGAACGCCGTTCGCATAGCGTAGTCAGTCACCTCTCACTGTACACTGTGCATTGTACATTGTACAGTGTGAATGATCGAACGTGAATTCATTTTCATTTTCATTTTCATTTTCATTTTCCACATCTGTAGTGTCAATTCACCAAAGAGATAATATTATACCCAACCGTACACCACCGTACCGTTTCCATACAGCAAAACATATCTACCTCCGTAATCCAACCCATTTTCCTTCCGTCTTCTCCACATTTATCAAAATCCCATTTGATACACCCAGGTACCGGTACACCTACTACCTGCCTACGTACGGACGGAATATGTGTGAAGGGTTTCCTTAGCGGCTTACCCGGATCTCTCTCTCTCTCTCTCTCTCTCTCTCTCGTGAGTCGTAAACATCCTATCCGCCCTCCACCATTCGAAAATCCAATCCTCCGCATCAATATCACAATATCACATCCACATCCACATCCACATCCACACCCACACCAAAATCCACATCCACATCCACCCACACCATACTTCATTACTCGAAGTGCCAAACCTACCTCACTCAATCTCATTCTCTCGCGCATAGTCAAAACATCACATCTCCCTCTCAAGAAAATTAATACGCCCTTCACGACGTACCTACGTACCTACGTACCTACCTTTGTCGACCACCTTCGTTCACGCCACATTCAATTAACCCTTTGATCACCATACGAGGGCAATCAAGAAGTGATAAACCTTTATTACTTGATTCCGAACCAAACTATTTTAGTTTATTAACCTTAGGTTCTTGTTATGCGTTTGCATTGATTAGTTTGATATCGGCAACAAGACACCACAAACCACACCGTCCTATCATTCTACACTCACTTCCTTTTTTTCCATCTGCCTCACCAGCCCAGTACGAGCGAGGGGAACCGTTTTCCAAGATTCTTCCACACAACGATCACAACGATTGGTACACCAATATCATTTCACCATCTTTCTTCATTCGATGTCGATAATTTAACGTTCGTCTTCACTTTCGCGATCCACATCTACCTACGATCATTGCACCTGTCTGCCGACCCCTTTGGTGGATTAAATCGCCAATATGGTTCAGGTCCCCATGAGTACAACGGCTTCGAGCTCTACCATGAGAGCCTCACCATCCATCGGTACGCCAAATGGCAACTCAGGTTCCAATCGAGGAAAATCAAATGGAAATGGCAATGCTTCCAATCCAGCTGCAGCGCCTACAGCTTTGAGTGCTATGATCTCTCCACCTTTGGATTTGACCAGCGTAGAGAGGAGGGGACAGCCGACGGCCAGCCGAGAGAATCCTAAAAAGATGCGTCCTCACGGTTTAGAAGAAGCGCCAACCTATAGACCAACGGCAGAAGAATTCAAAGATCCCTACGCATACATTCGAAGTATTGCGCCAGAAGCTCGGCAGTATGGTATTTGTAAAGTCATTCCACCAGATTCCTGGAAACCAGAGTTTGCGATCGACACCGAGGTACGTTTTCACCACCACTTATTCAGTGCAATCGCAACCACACAATCACCTTGCGAATCTGCCACTCACACTATTTGGTCACAACATAAAACATTTGCAGATCTATTCTAATGATTCATAGCGTTTTCACTTCCGCACGCGCAAACAAGAATTAAATTCAGTCGAAGGCAGTAAGTTCATTCGCAATCTCCATCCCTGACCCAATCCCACCAACATCACCCATTTCCACTACTGACGGCGTCTAGGCACACGAGCGAATCTCACGTATCTCGATCAACTTGCCAAATTCCATAAGCAACATGGCACAAATCTCAATCGATTTCCTAGCGTCGATAAACGGCCTCTCGACTTGTACAAACTCAAGAAGGCCGTTGATACCAGAGGCGGATTTGAGAAAGTCTGCAAGCTTAAGAAATGGGCTGAGATCGGGAGAGATTTAGGATACAGTGGGAAGATTATGTCCTCATTATCGACGTCATTGAAGAACTCGTATCAAAGATGGTTGCATCCTTACGAAGAATACCTACGATTGGCCAAACCCGGAGTACATCAACAACTAGAGTATGAATACGGAGGACCACTTACACCATCTCCTGCAAACTCGCCGATGAAGAGATCAGTACAACATACACCATCGAGTCTGAGGGGTGAATCTCCTGCGATGCGCGCATCGGATGCTTTGAACACAAGTGTAATGAAGGAGGAATTCGAAAAGAGCATGAAGAATATTCCGATGTTAGATGCTCCGGTTGTACCGAAATCACAAGCTACATCTGGGTTTACTCCGGTGAATGCGGGCGGGTTTACAGCTGTCAACTCTACACCTTCATCATTCACACCCGTCAATAATAATCGCCGGGAACGAGAGTCAAGCGCTAGTTTTACACCAACGCCAAGAAGACCATTCGACAGTCCGATTTCCTCCGCTAAAAACACCCCCGAGTATAAACCATCTGCACTGAGTTCAGCTCCGGTATTGAATGGTTTTACTTCTAATCCATTACTCAAGAGACAATTGAGTCATGAAAGTTTGGATTCGGGTAAAGGAAGTCAACCACCGGAAGATTCAGAGAATGGCGGAAGACGTAGCAAACGACTTAAGAAAGGTAAAGTTACATTTCTCATATTCATCATGCATCGAGCAAATGCGCCATTGTAACATTGTAAGGTTTAAATTAGAAACCTTGACGTATCATTGGTGGTCAAGGTTCCCGGCTAACAATACCCCTGCAGATGCTGTACCAACTGTGGCTGGATCACATATGACCCAATTTCGACCAACACCACCTAGAAATCCAGGAGAACGTGGATCCTCAACACCTGGGGAGGTCAGTAGTGATTCTTCTTTATCCTCTATCTCCTCTACCATTTGTTCGGACACATACTTAGATTCAGATCAGAAATGTGAGACTTGCGGCAAGGGTGATGATGCTGATAAAATCCTGATTTGTGAATCATGCGACTATGGTCATCATATGCAATGTCTTGATCCTCCCGTTACCCATAAACCAGATTTTGATTGGCATTGTCCTAGGTGCTTGGTCGGAGATGGTCAATTTGGATTTGAAGAAGGTGGGATCTACTCACTAAAGCAGTTTCAAGAAAAGGCAGCAGACTTCAAGGAAGGATACTTTCAAAACAAAATGCCATTTGATCCCGTTCTCAATTGCCCGCGACCAGTTACGGAAGATGACATTGAAAGAGAATTCTGGAGATTGGTTGCAAGCCTAGAAGAAACTGTTGAGGTGGAATACGGTGCTGATATTCATTCAACTACACACGGAAGTGGATTTCCCACCCTAGAAAGACAACCACAAAATCCCTACTCTACTGACCCCTGGAATTTAACGAATATGCCACTTCATGGAGAATCCCTATTCAGACATATCAAATCGGATATCTCCGGTATGACTGTACCATGGTTGTACGTTGGAATGATCTTTTCGACTTTTTGCTGGCACAATGAGGATCACTACGCATATTCCGCAAACTATCAACATTTTGGATCCACAAAGACTTGGTACGGCATTCCAGGAGAAGATGCCGAGAAATTCGAAGACGCCATGCGGGAAGCTGTACCCGAATTATTTGAAACACAACCTGACTTATTGTTTCAATTGGTCACACTATTAACCCCGGAACAACTGAAGAAAGCAGGCGTCAGGGTGTATGCTTTGGATCAAAGAGCTGGCCAATTCGTCATCACCTTTCCCCAAGCATACCATGCTGGATTTAATCATGGTTTCAACTTCAATGAAGCCGTTAATTTTGCACCCACTGACTGGGAACCATTTGGGGATTCTGGGGTTGAACGCCTCCAACAGTTCAGACGACAGCCGTGCTTTTCCCATGATGAACTCTTATGGACTGCAGCTGAAGGTGCGGCAACTGGTGGTGTTACTATTCAGACCGCCAAATGGCTAGCCCCTGCCCTTGGACGACTTCGCGATCGAGAGGTTTCACAAAGAAAAGATTTCATTGATAAACACAAGGAAGATGGCCATACTTGTGTCATTACGGATGTCATTGAAGGTGCTGGCCCCAGGTGTCATATTGGATTCCAGATCGATGAAGAAGATGTACCAGAGGAAGAGTATCAATGCACTCACTGCAAAGCTTATGCGTACATCTCAAGGTTCAAGTGTAACAAGAGTGGCAAGGTGTTGTGCCTTCTCCATGCGGGTACTTACGAATGTTGCGATATTACGGAAGCAGAAAGATTTGCGGGTACTGACCATACTCTTCATTACCGTCGCACAGAAGAAGCAATTTCAAGCATGCACCAAAAGGTCGCTGATAAAGCGGGTTTGCCTGAAATCTGGGAAGAGAAAGTGGAAAAGTTTCTCGAAGAAGATGCAACTCCATCGTTGAAAACTTTGCGGACCCTTTTGAATGAAGGAGAGCGCATTCCGTATGATTTACCATCCCTCCCTTCACTCAAGAAATTTGTTGATCGTTGTAACGAATGGGTGGAAGAAGCAACAAACTACACCGTTCGAAAACAGCAGAACCGACGAAAGAACGAAAAGGCTTGGCGTAAAGGCAGTAGAGCCGCAGAAATGGAAGAAAGGGACCGTGAATTGAGAAAATTCGAAAACGTGGTCAAGTTATTGAAAGATGCGGATAGAATTGGCTTCCATTGTCCAGAGGTTGATCAACTAAGAGAGCGAGCGGATGCCATCACGAAGTTCCAGACCGATGCCAGAGCGGCTTTAGCCCACCCAAGTTCACGTCGTACGACTGAGTTCGAAGAACTTCTAGAAGTTGGACGAGGATTCAATGTTGATATGGTCGAGATTGATAAGCTTGAGAAGGAAGTCCAACAGATGAAGTGGAATGATCGAGCCCGTGACAACCGCGGAATTTTCCTCTCTTTGAAGGAAGTCAGCGATATCATTGACGAAGCTACTAAACTTCAAGTGTCGGACTATAACGATTACTTGAGCTACTACAAGGAACAGAAGATCGCTGGTATGAATTGGGAAATAAAAGCCAAAGAAGTTATTGGTGCAGAGACTGTTCACTATCCACAATTGGAAGCTTTGTCTCAACAAGCTCAGGCTGCGTCGCTACCTGTATCACAAGAAACATTGGCCAAGGTTGATCAAATACTGAACAAGCATCGAGAAGTTCATAAACAGATCGTATCGCTGTATGACCGTTGTAGGGATCCCGATTTCATGAAACGTCCTGCCTATGCAGAGGTCGCTCTTCTTCAAAAGGAACTTCAAGGATTGGGTAGTAAACCAAGCGGTACTCTTGATTTGGAAAAAGAAATCAAGCGACATGAGGATTGGATGCGAGAGGGGAAGAAGCTATTCGGCAAGGCAAATGCCCCTCTACATATCCTCAAACAACATATGGAGTATGTTATGGAACGAAATGTGGATTGCTTCGATATCAGTCAAGATAAACCACGACTTCCGGCTGAACCATTATCTCGCGAACCTTCCCCTTCAAACGACAAACTACACAGTTGGGAAGATCCAAGATTTCGGGAGGTATTCTGTATTTGTCGAAGAATTGAAGCCGGTATGATGATTGAGTGTGAGCTTTGTCATGAATGGTCAGTTATTCGTCTCTTTTCCCTGAGGTCTTGCTAATTAATAATAGGTACCATGGCAAATGCTTAAAGATTGCTCGTGGTAAAGTTAAGGATGATGACAAGTATACTTGTCCAATTTGTGATTGGCGCGTAAAGATTCCTCGCGACGCGGCTAGACCCAAGCTTGAAGATCTACAAACATGGCAAGATAAGATTCCGTCATTACCATTCCAGCCAGATGAAGAGGCTATCCTCGAATCAATCATAAACAATGCTCAGGAGTTCCGAAATCATATTGCACCCTATTGCAATCCAGTCATGTCAACAGCAGACGAATCCGAAACTCAACGATTCTATTTACGAAAGATTGAAGGTTCAGAAATCTTACTTGCCTATGAAACCAACTTCTTCAGACAAGAACTTCACAAATGGTCACCAGTCGCGCCGGATCCTCCGCCAGTACTGGAATCTTCGAAATCAACACGAAAGCCTAGACCAACAAAACTTCAGAAGTTGATGGCGCAGCACGGTGTTAATGACCCCGAAGCTTTACCACAAAATTTGAGAACCAAACCTCATAACTTCAAAAGGAAGAGCAGTGAGCCTAGTGGAAGTCGACCAATGCCTTTGCAACCTGCTCCAGGAAGATCACAGCCTGGGACCCCTACTACTCATAGTTTTGGATCTAGTTCTGGACCAAGCATGGCAACTATGGGTTCGCATGGTCCGATTCTGAGTGGTCTCCCAAGTGCTCATGATCATGCGCATCCTTATGCATCTTATGGCCATGATCCTTATACCAGCATGGCGGCTTCGGCAAATCCATCTCCGGCTTTCGCACCACATGCTTATCTGAATGCAAACGGTACCCCTACATTCGGACATGCATCTCCCCAACAACCAAATATCTTCAGTGAGGCAGGATTGTCAAGGATGGATCCTTCTGTTTCACTCCATAGTCCAATGAGAGATAACTTTGTAATGGGTGTTAGCAATGTCGGTCATACTCCTCTAGGTGTTACTGCTGGCGAAGACAAACTTTTGGGAGATAGGATGTTTGAACAACTCACGAATGTCAGTGGAGATGAGGAGCCAATCGGGAATAAAGAGACAACATCGATTGATAGGAAACCAATAGATGATGATAAAGATTCAGCCGATGCGACTAAATGGGATGTGGAAAATAATAACATCGAGTTGTTCTTCGATGCACCTTGAAAAGTGCAATGGTTAGTCATTTGCGGCATTTGCAATCACACAAAAAGGCATATAAGATTTATGACTAGCGAAGAAAAACATAGAAATGGCATAGGGGGCCGGTTGGTAGCATACATACGGTGTTTACTTCCGTGGGATGGTTACTTGATGGATTCAAGGCGTTTCTCATGGGATCGGGTTCTAAATTCCGAATTTCCTTACGATGTATTATTTTACGATTGATTTCTGGTCTCCTCATCTCATGCATGAATTAATGGATCAAGCGTCGAAATGGCTTCGGTTTGGGTTTGCTATTGTGGCTAGGTCTCGGTGCGCGTCCATGTTTACACAATACAGAGATAGATGATAATTGCATACATACATCTGGGTTCATATTTACAATGCAATGGGCGGATTTATGGTGGGGGATTGCTATCTTTGCTTTGCTTTTTCTGGTGGGTGGTACTGTGTGAGGCGAAAATGGGCATGCGGGAACGGGCCGAGTTTTGAAGGGGAGCATTTTTGGGTTAACAGCGATAGCTCGCTTTGGCTGGCTAGGTGTATAGCTAAAAAATGGGTGGCTTTTTATGACGCGTAGAGAGAGAGAGAGAGAGAGCAGTATAATGATTATCTTCGTGACGGAATGGTATAACACAACATCAAATAATACTTGGGCTGATGCAGTGAATGAAAACTCCAGAAACATACCATCTACTCTTGCCTTTCCTTAATGGAAGTATCCGACTTGCACAAAACCCATTTGAACATGTGTTTATGCCCCGCAAACATGAAAGCATTGAACATATTGATTCCCTTATACATTAGAGGTTTGTTTACAAAAAAAAAAAAACAAGTTGGCCGATTGTATTACATATGCATGTGCTTCACTCTAACCATTCGCATAAATCTGGAGCAAACTCAAAAATCAAAAGTGACTCGTGAAAAAATAGCTATGCTTCGAGAGAACGAAAAAAATAGTGTAATGACAGACCAAATACGGAAAACAAAATGTAAAAATCTTAACCCCACAACCTATCTGTCAAAGCATCGCTCTAAACCTTCTAAACCTCCTCTTGTCCAACACCTGAAAAGGAAAACCTGAATTATTGTACATTTCTTTCGAACCATCAGAGAGAGATTTTTTAAGATCTGGCTGTGAAAAGTCATGATGACATCTAAGAACAAGGTGGGCAACTCTTCAACCAATCCTTGATAGGTTGAGAAGCATAATCGAGGAATTTGTGGCCCCAAGCATCTTGAGCACATACTGTTCTTATGTTAGTGTCAATTCAAACTCACTCATGGCCCGTTCATTTATTAGACTGCTGCTTCCAACACACGCTCCCTCCATCGTCTTCGGCTATAGTTTGGAAAGGGAGGAGAGAAATCTACTCACAGCAATCACAAGGAGGATCCTTGTGCATATTATCACTCTGTTTCCAATTGTAACCTTTCAATTCACAGACGGGCAAGGTGAAGAATCCAGCAGTGGTATATGCTTTATTGGCATCATTGTTGCCGACGAATTCATGTGCGATGTTGTTCATGTGCCAGGTGATGTCTTTGTAGGCGTCGAGACCATGGCCGGTGTACATGTTGTAGGTGCTGGCGTAGAGTTGTTGGAGTTCTGAGAGAGCGTTAGTGAAGAATCTTGGGAGGAACAGAAGAAAAGTGTGAGACTAAGGGAGAAGGGAAAACGAACGAATATTGAATCCTCCGATAGAAGCAACTTTCCCATTGTCAATACCCGTCGGAGCAGAAAACTTGGAATTGTTGTCCACGCCTGCTAAAATCATCATGCCCTTTTCACCGCAAAATCTTCTGGGATCACCAGCATTCTTTCCACCGGTATTACCGTGCCACCCGGAACAATCTTTGACAACATCCGGGATGTAGATGAAAAATGCATTTTGTGCTTCCCAGTATGCTTGAAGGAGTTTAATAGCTGCATAGCGGGAGAAAAGTCCGTCGAGACCATTCTCGCCACCAACATAAGCTTGTAAGACTTCGTCGCCGGCGAATGCACCGCCCGTGAGGAGATCTTTCAACTAGATGACAAAATTAGTTAGTCAATTCCTCGCACAGAATGCAAAACGTGCAAAGAATAAGAAGAACATACAGTCCCCACACTATTCCCATTCACTTGTCCATTCGAAAACGTTCCATTGTGAGAAAACTCGAGCGAGCTCAACGCCAATTGTTTCATGACCGGCAAGTAATCCGAAAACTCCAACACGCTCAACTCATCCGATTCCTTGCTATCTTGAATATCGTTCGCGATGGTGCCGGCTAAGCTGGCTGTTCCGGCGGCAATTCCAGTACCAATTGTGAGCATACCGGCGGTGATTTGTGTACCGAGTACTGGGAGAGTAAAGGCGAGGGCTCCGGGTACCCAGCAAGTTCCGATTACGGCTGCGACGGCAAGACCGCCGGAGATAACTGTCACTGCGTTTTTGGCGCCGATTTTGGCACCAGGGGTGGTCGGAGCGAAGCTCTAGGGGATGCTGTTAATATTCCTCCTTTGTTTTTCCATTGTGAAGGAAAGATTTCAAAAACATACTGATTGAAAATCCGCACTAGTCTGCGTGAGCGTATCAAGCGAATTACTCATGACTTTTTCCCACTGCAGATACATCTGCTGCACATTCATCATCGCTTTGATTCCCAACCAGCCCTGTTCCTTCTCTGCGGTTGTTCCGCTCAGCGCGCTACAGCTTGCGGGGGTAGTATCGCAGTTATCGAAACTGTTGGGGCAGTAGAAATCTACATTATAGCGATTACCGAATGCTTGGTGAAAATCGAAATTGGGATCGCTCATTCCGGTTGAGAATATGTCGCTGATTAGTTGGTCCATGTTGTGGGATGCCCATGTGTCGCGGTTGAGAGTGATGGGGCCATTGCCACAGTTGTCGGAGGCGCCGCCGCCGTTGTTGGGCTGGATGGCGAAGATTCCGGGGTTGAAGTTGGAGGGGATGGGAGCGAGTGCTTCGCGGACTTTTACGGGGGCGGGAGAGGCGGAGGTCTTGAGGGCTTGGGAGAAGAGGAGACTAAGGAGGGCTTGGGATTTGGAAGAATGCATTTTGAAGTGATTGGGAGAATAGAGGAAAGAAAGATTTCTGAATACTGAAGTCTGAAGGAGAGAAGGAAATTGAAAGAATGTGTTTTCAATCAAGGGAATAAGGAAAAGGAAAAGAAAAAGAATAGAAAAGTTGATTGTGAAAATACCAAAGAAATAATAGGGAAGAGATTTGCGTTCTGTGAATTGAGGAATGAAATTGATAGCAGATCAAGAACCTTTTATATTCTCAAATCTTCTAGTTTCCTTCATGACGGCTTGCCATAATTCAAGACACCAAGACCATTATTCACAAGAAGGATTTGATACTTCAGCCAAGAAATGTACCAAAAGCGTCCAAAGTTCGGGTTTGGCTCAAAATACATCGTATACATGATGCTAACCTTGGTTGGTGTTGGTAGCCCTAAGAACTCCTAAAGCGCCATCTCTGATGTTCTACACATGGAGAGTGCTTATAGCCCTGCTAAGAGACAAGCCAAGCGCTTGTATCGAGATACTAGATGATGATTTGATAGAATGCTGAGAGGCTGATCACTGGATAGGCTATTCGACTATTTTTGCGATTCAGTATTTTCATCCTTTTCAGTCATTCTACTACTTGGGGTCTGAAAAGTAATGAGAAAACCTCCAAAATCGCTTGAAATAGTCGGCGGAATAATTTTTAGAGTTTGTTAATCTGAATCTATTCCATAGGCTATCCAAATCATCAGCTCGTTGAATTGGGATGATAATGTGATCGATATGTAGTAAGCTTATGCCAAGTTCTCCCCCATATGTATTTACGTTGCGGCTCAGCCTTCTGCAGTGTTGATGATTAAGTACGAGCCAAGAGCGCCATGTTGCCAAGAGATTACAATGAGTGATAAGATGGATTACTGCTCCTGAGTTTAAGCTTAAAATATCAGATCAATGCAGGTACGATTTTGTAGGAGGATTTACGAAGCCCCTGAATTCGCCAATCTAATTGGCCTTGTTGTTTGTTAATGACTGGCTACTTAGAGCTCGACAATTGCTTATTTGAGCTCATGAAGCCATTTCTATGTCGACTTTCTTTTTGAAAGGTATACATGTACTTGTGTGAAGCGTGAAGTGTTCTGCCACTTGGCTTTTGAACGGGTGAATATTCGTCCGTTGAAAAGATTGTTCTTATACTTACGTGGCAATTATATCGTAGCAATAGAATCATATTCAGGACTCAGGAGAAGCGATGAATTTATACAGTGTACATTTGACAATGACTCTTGGATTTTCAGGACTGGGATGTATTTTGGAGAAGCATCTGTCAGGGTAACAAGCTTATTTGGTGTCAAGATTTTATGTAAAGCTTGTCTTTGATTCACCAAGAACTGAAGACATCTCAATGAGTGGTCTCAGCAGTCAAGAAAATGTGTCAACAAAAAAGAAAGCAATGGCCCAATTGTACCTTGCCATCGATTTAGAGACGCAGCGACTGGTCAGCTCTGGCAATGTTGAATGCTACCTCGCCGTCTCGCACCGTGGAAGTAATGTCAATCTTGAGCTCATGTTTTGGCATCTGAATCCAAGAGAGTTCCTGTTGTCGTACCAAGGAAACAACACATATGGAGCTCATGACAGTCCAGATGGGAATCTTCCTAACATCGCGAGACCGGCTGGAGAGATATTCTATTGCAGCTATGCCAGATTTAACGCCACGATTTGAACCAGAAAGAACACACAGTATAAACTACATTGAAATTTTACCCTGGATGTAGACTGACTATTTATGACTAGGGAATGATCGTGAGAGATTACCCCAAGGTTCTCATGCACAAGTGAGCGAAGCATAAAACACAACTGTGTCTCCCCCATGTTCTTAATCAAGGAGTGTATTCTAAGAACCATGATGCCAAATGAAGTGGCTCAGGGATTTATGTAGAAAACCCAAGGAAGAGAAATAACAAGCACGTATTCTTGTAACAGAAGG